AAACTTAACATCAGCGAAGCGGTAATCAGTCATCCACTTGACCATTCTTTCATTCCGCTTCAATTAATCAGTTAGTCATTTAGTCATCCTTTCATGCCAATTATGCTATTTTTGTCCTAGGCCCACCAAATGACGCATGCGCACCACTAATGTGCTTGCTGAATGCTCTCCACCTCAATGACAAGTGTGGAAAAGAGCGTAAAATTCAATTTAAACCAGCAACGGAAATTTTTTGGCACACACTCACATCAATGAGAATTATATGCAATGGCAGTTGATGACGTGTTGCCAGATTACGTTTTCCAAAAATTAATAAAATTGGAAAACTAAAGTTGTGTTTTTATTAATGATTAATATTTCCAAATTATTTCTGTATTCAAAAGCATTCACTCGAAGTAAAAATATTTTTAAACAGATTTCCAAATCACTAGCATTGATACTTTTATTAATCAATCCTCTGCATAGGACTAAAGTTCAGACACTTAAAATTCGAATCAGAGAAAAACTATTTTTATACTCTCGCAACAAAGTTGCTAAGGAGAGTATTATAGTTTTGTTCACATAACGGTTGTTTGTAAGTCCTAAAACTAAAAGAGTCAGATATAGGGTTATATATACCAAAGTGATTAGGGTGACGAGTAGAGTTGAAATCCGGATGTCTGCCTGTCCGTCCGTCCGTGCAAGCTGTAACTTGAGTAAAAATTGAGATATCACGATGAAACTTGTCATGCGAAAGTATAAAATGTTCAGTGACACCCGAACTTAGCCCTTCCTTACTTGCTCTTTTTATTTTGGCATTTTAAGTATACCTTTGAGACATATTTAAATAGCATCTGACTTGAAGTTGTCAGCTTATACTATCAGTAGAGAGATAGTTCGTTGCTTGTGATATATGTAGTTAAGAAACTTCTTTGAAGGAATCAATAGTAATTAAGTTCGTTCTCAATTTACCCACAAACTTCTTCTCATTACTGAAGAAGATTTTAATTTTTTTTAAATATATAACGACCTTTTTCATGACCACCACGGACACGCCTGCAGAAGTCCAGACGCTAACCTAATTTTCGACGGTTTTCAAGCATTTCACGTTCGATATTCGTACGGAGTTCATCAATCGTCGCTAGCTTGTTGGCATAGACCCTAGACTTGACATAGCTCCACAGAAAATAGTTTAATGGCGTCAAATCACAGGACCGAGGTGACCAATTCACAGGGCCATTTCGTGAGATAACACCTTAAGCAAACATGGTTTTCAATAAATCAATTGTAACATTCGCTCTGTGGCTTGTGACGCCATCCTGTTGGAACCACATATTGTCCAAGTCCATATCATCCAATTCCGGTTAAAAATATTCGGTTATCATTGAGCGGTAGCGATTCTCATTCACAGTAACGTGCCGGTCTTGATCATCACGGAAGAAGTACGACCCAATGACGCCGCCGGCCTATAAACTGCACCAAACAGTAATTTCTTCGGAATGTGACTCATGAAGTACCTATGAACTGCTGCCTAACCAATAACGCATATTTTGTTAATTGACGAAGCCATTAAGCCAGAAATTAGCTTCAACGCTGAAGATGATTTTTCGAGGAGAATCTGGATCGTCATACGGCGATTCTGGTGATCAGGCGGCTTCATATTCTTGCGTCAATTTGACCTTGTTATAATGTAGGACAGGCTGTTTTCGCAAAATTCGCCACAACGACGTCACAGAGATGCCCAATGCTTGAGAACGACGTGTGAGAGACTGATTTGGGTCTTCCTCAATTGATGCGCTAGCGGTACCAATATTCTCGACACTACGGGCACTTCTCTGCCTCACTTTCACGAAAACATTTTGTACTGTGCCTGTGGATTGAAATTTTTCAACTAGACGCTCAATTGTTGATCTGACAGGACGATTACGACAACCATAAATTGGACGTAACACTCTTAAAGTTGAGGCCACTGACTCCGAATTTCGGTAGTAAATTTTAATAATTTCTACTCGTTGTTGGATCGTACACTTTTCCCCGATGAAATGGCGAACATTACTGAAGAGAAATGTCAAAAGAGTTAAAATAGCGGGAAATATATGGCGTCGTTTGTTGTCGGTCTTCTTTTGTACTGTACCCCCCTTATATACTCGTATACACATATGTACATCAGGTGATTCAAGTGTAGGTACTTTTTTCAATAGCAGTCGTTGCTGAGAGTGTACAAAAAGACCATGAAGAGTCGGTTCGGTGCCGGTCTCAAACACTCAGACCGACGTTGGAAAGATTCGTCGCATTGTACGTCAAGATTTTAAATTTTAAGCATATAAAATACAGCTTGTGCAAGAATTGAAGCCGCTCGACCTTCCAAAGCGAAATCGCTTCGCTCTATAGGATCCTGAAATGTTCCAAAAACATCCGATGTTTTCGTGACAAATTTTGTTCAGCGATGAGGCCCATTTCTGGCTCAATGTAAACAAGCAAAATTGAAGCATTTAGAACGAAGAGCATCCAGGAGGAATTCAAAAGCTTCCATTTCATCCAAAAAAAATCAAGGGTTGGGTGTGGCTTGTGGGACGGTGGAACCATCGGTCACTATTTCTTCAAAAATGATGCCGTTGAGAACAAAACCGTCAATAGCGACCGTTAGCGCGCCATGATAACTGACTATTTGATGCCTGATATTGAAACTCGTGATGTCGGCAACATTTGGTTTCAGCATGACAGCACCACCTCTCACACATCGCATCAATCATTGGATTTATAGAGAGATCAGTTCGGTCAGCAGATAATTTCACGTTTTGCCCCAGTATGATATCACACCGTTAAACTTTCCTGCGATAAGTAATATCTAAGGCCTATGCGGACAATTACATTTCGATTCAGAACTTGGAGCAAAACGTCACGCTTGACATGCGTTAGTTACCAGTCGAAACGCTCAAACAAGTCATCGAATATTGGACTCAAGGAGATGGACTATCTGAGACGTAGCTGCAGCAAACATTTGAAAGACTTAATCAATAGAGAAATTTTTCGTTTTTTGGAAACAAAAATATTTAATCAATTGTCGTCCGAATTCGATATTATACACTTATGCCACTACTTCTTACAATCGTGGAACCCTTCTCAAACTCGACTTCTTGGATAGCTTTTAGCTCTTTCAGTAATGTATACCTGTAAAATAGCGGACCTTTAAGATTACCTTTGTTTTTGTAAATAGGAACAAGTCACACGGAGCCATGTCTGGCGAATGCGGAGGTTGGGCTATCCGTAAACTATTGTTTTTGGCCAGGAATTCGAGACGATAAATAAAAACACTACTTGCTACAAATACAGTAATCAAGTATTTCAGTGACAAGTATAGCAATATAATAAACGAAATTGACAATTGGACTCTCCAAACCCACGAAATTCCATTATCTGAACACACCTCGTATATGGATCTAGGTAAATCATACTTATTATCATACTACTGTGATGAAATTCAAAGGTACATTTCTAATTTATACTTCGCCTGTCTTTAGAATCGGCAAATTTTTTTTCTGTAAGTTGGTTGTTCTGTTAGTGACATCTATGCTAAATTTCACGTCAAATATTCATTAGTGTTTGAGTCGTTTTGTGAGGTTCTAAAAGTGAATTTCTCTGTTTTTACTATGTCTGAATTTATTGAACAAAGAAGTGCGATAATGCACCATCTCATACTGCATTGGTTATTCGTGATCATTTCGCCACATTTTCAACTAATATCGTGCCGCATCCAGCGCATTCGCTTGATTCACCTTCGTGTAACTTCTGACTATTCAGCAAATTCACATGACCACTCCGAGGACACCGTTTTAACTCAATTGAGGTTATAAAAGCTGAATCGAAGAAGGAAGGCTCTGATCTAATCACGACGGAGGATATAGTGCCATGATGACTGGAAAATTCGTTGGCATAAGTGTATTGCAGCGGGAGGGGATTATTTTGAAGAAGATGAAATGGACAAAATTCACCTTTCAATTTGATCACAAATAAATTATGTATGTAAATTGTTAGCAAAAGTAATCACAACTTAAGTAAAACATGAAAAGAACAAAACTTATAACTGATATTTTCGTATGTACACATTATGTATATAAAATTTTGGGGAAAAGCTATTATATCTAGAATCGGGCATATATCCTCGGCTTACCTTTTCTTGAAGGTTCATTACAAATTTAACAGTGGTTATCTCGCTGTGTCGACAAATCTGTCTATATCTTTTAATATCTTTATGTGAGTCAAAAATTAAGAAAAAATTACAGCTAATGGCAACGCAGTGCTAACGGTGAAACAGAGAGCCGACGCACAAATGGGAACAGAAAGCAGTCAACTGAGTAGAGAACATGAAAGTTGACAGAGAGCAAGCCATTGAAGCAAGACACTTCAAAGAAGCACACACAATAAAATTGGTAGCAACAACAAAAGGACAACTACAAAAATAACTTTATCGGCATTAATAAACGATGAGCAAATTGCCACGAACAACTGACACGAAAGGAGCGCAACCAACGAGCTAACGAATGCCAACCGAAACGAATGAACGAGTAAGCTGAGCGCACGAGTAGTGGCGGTGTGCCATTGCCAGTGCCAGTGTCAGTCAGCTTCGAGTGGCAAAGTGACATTTAGAATTTATGTGTAAAGGAGGAAATATCTAATGGTGCAGCATATTAATACATAACTCTGGAAATTTTGGTACAACTGACAGTTTTTGTGTATTAAAATGTGAAATAATATTGAAATCAAAACGCGTTACTAAATAATAAATTCAAAGTTAGCAATTTGAAAGTGTGAATACCGTTGTGTTAATATAAATTCGTCTGCATATAATTTGCTATACGGAAAAATTTCTACGAGTGCTTAAGGAGTTAGGAATAAAATATATATACATATTATATATGTATATATATATGCCGAGTGAAAGGTAGCTGGCGCAGAGAGCACAGCAATTACTCGCGACCCAACCCCGCTGTTTTCCACAGCAACAACAACAAATGCAACGACAACGGCCATAAAAATAAGTATCAAATAAAAAATGGCTTAAGTGTGCGCACTCAGAGAGTGTACCTACGTATGTGCGTGCGTATGTATGTGGGTGCCTTTAGATAGGTAAGTGTGCGTGTAAGTTCGAGTGCTACAACTCCGATAACGGCAGTTCGGTCTGACCTTTTTAGCTTTTACTGCCCTCTGTGCACCTTGTAGCGACAGTTGCTCGGTCGGTCGGTCGGTCGGTTGGCGGCGGGGTGCTTATACTGTCATTTGGTGTATAACCGTTATCGAAGCGTGTAATTCGTACAAACCCTAGCGCTGCAAATCGGTAAATGTCTTCGTGCAGACTTGTCAATCGAAACACAAATGGAAAGTGATTTTAACGGTGATAAGTAATTGAAAGGAATTGAAGTTTTTTCGGTTATATGTATGTATGTATGATTAAATATACATACATAGCTAGTTTGTATACTTGTGCGGCGGCGAAATCTCAAGCACCATAACTACTAATCAATGAAAAAATGGTAACGATGACTTCAGAGGTGGACAAAACGCAAACTTCAATCGTCTTGGCTGCCAAGTCGGCAGCCGAAAGCGCCGCCGCCAGTGCAAGCAGTCCAATTGGTGGCGAGGAGATGGGCCACCGCCAACGCATAGCGCTTGAGGGCGGTGACAATGGTGAGGTTGCGGTGCAAACGCTTACAGCAAGCAAAGTAACGAGCGGCGATGATTGTAATGAAGTGCCGGAAAAAATCGCAATCACAACAACAACTACAACAAATATGAAGCCATTGGAGTTGTCAAGTGTGACAATTTCGATTGAATTGGCGAGCGAGGATGACTCCTCAACAGCTGCGACGCCTGCCACGGCCGCTGAAGCAGCTATATGTACAACAATAACACCGGCCATACCGGTGATGCCAACCACACCGCAAGGAGCAACGCCCAAAACGGTAGCTACGCCCGACGTAGCGCCACCGCCTGCCACACCTACGAATACAGTAAATATATCAGCAACAACACCAACAGCAACAGCTGTAGAAGCGCCAGCAGCAATAACTGCTACAACCACAAAAAGAGAGAAAACAACTGCAAGCGTTGAAGCGGCGGCCGCCACCAAATGTAACGTAAAAACTACCGTTGCAGACACCACTAGTTTCACATTAACTGAAAATATTGTTGGCAAAAGCGAAAACCGCAACAACGACCAGAACACTACAACAAGTACCACAACAACATTTACAGCAGCAAGCGTTAAAACAATTGCCACGGTTGCAAGCGGCAAAACAATAGTATCCACCAGCACCACCACCACATCATCACCAATACCATCAACGTCAACGCCAAAGGTGAATTTCAACATGAATAGCGCCAACAGCACCACAAGCAATAGCACGTGTACCTCGAGTACGAACAGCACCAGCAGTGTGACCAGCATGTCTACGCCGGCTGCCGTGGGTGGCATCACTGGCAATGGTAATGGCAATACTGCCGCCAGTACTGGTCTGGGCGTGAGCAACAGTCACTATCATCATCAACATCATCAGCAGCAACAGCAGCAAAGCGCTCAACATGGGAAATCGTCGGCCAGCAGTGGCAGCGGCGGCGGCGCGGACGGCTCCCATACTGCGTTGCCAGGAGCGAAGTCGTCACTCACCACTGGCGCCATTCTAAATCACCCACAACAGCGTCGCAACGAAGATGCGCCCAATATTCTGGTGTACAAAAAGGTAATCAAAAAGCGACAATACAAAAAGTCACAAATGTCTTATTGAGCAGTTGGTGGTAGTGTTTAAGCAGATATTAGCTGCTTATTTGTAGCAGCGTGTAGTTATACCATGCAACAGTTTTATCAAAACCTGTGACAATTTACCTAATGAAGTTGTTGTATGTACAGGCATAGGTAGTGTCTTTTAAGTGAAATTATCTGTAGAAAACGAGATGAGTTCATATGATACCGATATATGATTTTTTTTTGTGTTTTTGTTCCCATGATTGTTGACTTGTTTAATGTCCAATTTATAAACCCAAATCTCGTTGGCAATCGCATGTTTGATTCAGACAATGATCTTAATAAGCAAAGCACAGCCGTTAATGCGACGAAGTAAATGTCGTTTTGTAAGAACATAAGGAACCACTTCGAATTTACTTGTTAACTACTTTATTTTATCCATATATGCATTTTCATTAACGAAATTGTCGAAAATAAATTTTGCAAACTAATTTTGACATTGGCGTTGAATTAACACATCTTCTCCGTACACATAATTTTCGCCTTGCTCGAAAAGATTTTTTATCCTTTTGATAGTAAAAACAGTAAAATATTCCGAAAATGCAGTTTTTGATCTTCCATTGGTGAATGAATCTTAAACAACATATTTCTTTTTCTTTCCATTGAGTACAGAGTATGCTCCAATGTTCTAGATCATAGTTCTCTTGCAGATCTAATTATGGTTATATTTTGCTAAAAATATTTCAGCTGACTTCAGGTTTGCTTAACATTCAGTATGTTCTCTTCTGAGCCAAACACGTCTCAAGGCGTTGAAAAATACAAACGTTTGCTCTAATCATGGTTGTTGTTTTCCAATGCAACTGTTCTTTAATGTGTGTTTTTCAAAGTAGAGGGTTTGATGAAGTCTGTCCCGTATTGTATCCAGAGATATATCTCCATAACCTTTTTTAGCTTCTCTTAGACTTAGCAGTGGTTTCTTATTAAAAACAATAGCTTTGCCCTTATCTTTACGTTAGGTTAGTTTAATCCGGTAGTCCAATGAGCCATGCGTAGTTTTGGTCCTTTGCGATACCAGATGAAGTTCATTTAAAAAGTCTATGAGGAGTAGTCATTCTTTAGGATGCTCTGCTAATGCGAGACAAGTGCGCAAGAGATGATCCATTGTTTCCCTGGAGCCTTGCTCATGACATTTACTGCAATCTTCTCGTTCTGTCAAACCCATTCTGCGCGGCGCGTGTGTGTCGCCACCAAACAGTGACCTGTCAGAATTCCTCATGTTCCTACATTCCATTCTATCGAGTGCCAATAAAAATTTTGTGTACTTCCAATCTACCGTTTAGCCATGACTGCTGTAGTTTTGCACCCAGGTAGCTCGTTCCATCGGGGTTTACCATGCCTGTGTCTACATCGTCGTATAGATATTGCACTGGTTTCCCAATTTTGATCACGTTTGATGCCTTTGTGGCCTCACACCCAGTAGAAGTAAAGTTGCTTGCTTCTGGTAACATTTTCCACTGCTGCTTTCCAAGACACTTCTGGCCAATATGCGATACGAGGTTATCGCCTTGATTGCTACTTGGCTGTCCTCGCAAATTTTGGCTCTGGAGTTGCCAGCAGGTGCATTAGAGACCAGCGTCGCTCGTAGATGCCACAAGATTCCTCACTCTTTCTAACTTGTCACCTACGTTTCCAGTTTCTGCATACTAGTCAGGACACCTTTTCACAATTACACTAATACTTTACAGTTTTTTAATAGTCCATTTCGGATCTTTTTCCTTTCTTCAAAAGGTTTTTTTATACCGATTACTAATTTTTCTTATTTCACGGCGCGATGTACCGCATTAAGAAAATCGGAAAAACGAATTATACGTGTCAGCAAACACACTGAACATGTTTTAATTATAAAAAATATATACTATATATTGATTAATCGAGCCTGCTTCACAAAAATTTGTTGAGGATTTTTTTGGGAGGGAAAGAAATAATTGATTAAAGCGAGTTTACAGTTATATATTTAAACATCAGCCGCAAATATTTTAGATACAAAATCTTTTATATTCTGCCTTTGGAACGCAATTGCTCGATGCATCTCATGGCACCATCTTTGCATCTTGTGGAGTAAGTTAGGTAATGAAACGTTGCTTAGAAACCAATTTCTTGCGACGAAAAACATTGTCATTGCAATTTTGGACAAATGCTATGTTATAAAGTACTTCCAGTCCAAATATTTATAGCTATTTTGATAGATTTCCAGATGTTAATGGGTTATACCAGTGAGAATCATGAAAAATTAGGTGATTTTTGTGGATTTTTTTTTTTAAGAGAAAGTACTCGATTGAATTTTTCGACCTTTTTTTAACATAATAAGGTATATTTTCAGCTATATTTCATTATTTTTTTTTTACAAAAATTTTGAAAAATAACGGAATTATGGGCTGTCTTCGGAGATGCCAAAAAAAGTGCCCCAACAAAAAAATTTTTTTTTGAAAGTTTCACACTGGTATACCCCCTTAATGGGAGTAGCAATCTCATACATATTTAACATCAAAGCAAATGTTTAAAATAGTCTAATATAACGCTATGATTTTTAATTTTTCTGGTATTATAAATCATCTGATGACTTCAATACATGGATGTTACTCATACGCCACGTTGGTCTTCAATTAAATATATTTTATCAACGTTTAACTTTGCCAATTGTAAAGTATTTACTTGAAGTTCACTTAGCAAAATAGCTAATTTGATGCTAACTCCATTACTTGCTTATAATAATATATACATATATAGATACATACATACGTATATGTATATGAGCTATATGCTCTTATTAAGGACAACGGGAGGTATGAGTAATTTATGCAATGACAAATTTTCCTGCTCCTTATCGCTTAGTACCGACGAATGATACTATTTCTTTCAATAAAATATATATAGTGTATGACCCTGTTAGAGTAAACTTAAACATATGCGGAATTCATTTCATAAAATTTCCCTATATGCTTCGAGGATTTCTTTAGATGAAGCAATTATAGAGAACAGATATTATTTCTAATATTTTACAGCTTCTTTATGTTATATAAAGTCTATATTAATTTCAAATTAAGCAAGTAAGTTCTAAAAAATGTATAACATAATCTGTAGTATGGCTTTCTTGCAAACCCACAGATGGAAGCAATTATTGAGAAGATGCAAGCGGAATCGACGGGTGTGGCGGTACGCACCGTCAAAGCCTTTATGAGCAAAGTGCCGTCGGTCTTTACCGGTGCCGATTTAGTCGCTTGGATACTAAAGAACTTAGATGTTGAAGATGTGACTGAAGCATTGCATTTTGCGCATTTGCTTGCATCACATGGCTACATTTTCCCAATCGATGATCATCAGTTGACTGTGAAAAACGATGGCACTTTTTATAGGTGAGTAGAATTTGGATTTTATGGAATGTAAATATAAGAAATGCGGATATTTGAATATTAAATTTCGTTCAATTTCACACAGATTTCAAACACCCTACTTCTGGCCATCAAATTGCTGGGAGCCGGAGAACACAGATTATGCCGTGTATCTGTGCAAGCGCACGATGCAGAACAAAACCCGACTGGAATTGGCCGATTACGAAGCGGAAAACTTAGCCAAACTTCAGAAGATGTTCTCACGCAAATGGGAATTCATATTCATGCAGGTTGGTAGCCTACACATAAATATAATATTTCCTTCGAATAACTACTATTAACGTTATCGTAGGCGGAGTCACAAAGCAAAGTGGCCAAAAAACGTGATAAGCTCGAGCGCAAAGTATTGGACTCACAGGAGCGCGCCTTCTGGGATGTGCACCGACCAATGCCAGGCTGTGTAAATACAACCGAAATCGACATTAAGAAAGCATATCGACGTGGCGGTCACGGTTGCGGCACTTCCGGCGGTGCCGTGGCCAAGAATCCCGTCGAACAGGTGACGCGTGTGATTGGTTTGCGCAAACAAAAGCTCGAGCGGCGCACAATAAAAGTGTCAAAGGCAGCCGAAGCGTAAGTCAAATTTGGAATATTCAATTTAGATCTAGTTTTGTGCTCATTTATAATGGTGTTATCATTTATAACACAGTTTGGTTGCCTACTACGAGCAATACAATGAATTTGATTACTTTATAACTTCACCAGAGTTGCCAAATCCTTGGCAAACGGACAGCACTGAAATGTGGGATGCGGAACGTAACTCGTAAGTACCATACCATATAATTAAGGGCGTTGAGATAAAAGTGACTGTGGGTATTATAAATATAGTTATGCATTAGGGTTTATCAGAAATGGTTGGTTTAGTTCGGTAGTAATCAATATTTTTTTCATATCGGTATTAGGGGGAGTATGAGCCAATTTGATCATTTTCAAGTAAACACGTTTACTTCGGATCCATTGAAGCTTTAATACCTTTCACAGGCCCTTTTCTTATTGCAAAAATGGTTTAAAAAATCATTAACTTGATTTTGCTCGGTCAATTCGTATCTCAGCTATATCCAATACTTGTCCGATCTCAACAACATCGACACAGTTCTGGAAAACAAACTTTGCCAAATTTTGTGAAGATATCTTGTCACATAAAATCCAGTTTTCTATATAAAGACTTCATTTTGGTCGATCAGTTTGTATGATAGCTATATCCAATAGTTGTTCGATCTCGGCAATTTCCTCAGAGATTGTAGCGGTGTTTTGAAAAATAGTCTCTGCCAAATTTCGTGAAGATATCTTTTAAAATAACAAAGATTTTTATACAAAAAATTTAATTTGATCGATCAGTTCGTATGGCAGCTATATCTAATCATTTTTCAATCTCATCAATTTCTTCGGAGATTGTAACGCCATTTTGAGAAATTATCCAAATGCAAAATTTCGTGTAGATATTTTGACAAATAAAAAATTTTCTATACAAGGACTTGATTTCGATCGGTAAATTTGTATGACAGCTATATCTATTCGTTATCCGATCTCAACAATTTCTTCAGAAAACACCTATACAGTTCTGGAAAATAACCTTTGCCAAATTTCGTTAAGATATCTTGTTATCGATTAGTTCGTATGACAGCTATATCCAATACTTGTCCCTTCCTTATCATAAGAATTTTGGAAAATAACCTCTGTAAAATTTCCTGAAGCAGTTTTCCCAAAAGTAACATAACTAAATATAATTTCACCTGCAGAAAAGAAGTACCTTTGCGTCATGTAAAACGTTGGGGCTTCAGTTTACGTGAGCTACTAAACGATCCAGTTGGACGTGAGCAATTCACGAAATTTCTCGAAAAGGAATACAGTGGCGAGAATTTAAAGTGAGTAAACAGTAATAAATTGCCGCAAAAAATATGACTACTAATAATATGCGCTCTTCTGTCGTACAGGTTTTGGGAGTCGGTGCAACAGATGAAAACACTACCACAATCTGAAATCAAAGAAGCAATACACAAAATCTGGCAAGAGTTTCTCGCACCCGACGCACCCTGTCCGGTGAATGTGGACTCGAAATCAGTGGAATTGGCACGTGAGGCGGTCAACGCCACGAATGGGCCGAATCGCTGGTGTTTCGACGTGGCCGCTGCGCATGTCTATCACCTCATGAAGAGTGATTCCTATTCCCGTTATTTGCGCTCGGATATGTATAAAGATTATTTGAACTGTTCGCGTAAGAAAATCAAATCAATACCAAATTTATTCGGTGTGAAGCGTTAGGCTAAGCATAGAGAGAACTCTATTGATAATGAGGGCGTGATTTATTGACGTAGTAAATGAAATTGTTTAACTAATAATGTACTTTATACCGTCATACAGCTTGTTATTTTTAACTATGCAGCTTAAAAGCTACGGATTATTGAAAAAAGGAATTGAATAGATTGTTTATGGTTGAGAATATTTTTTTTCTTGTTAACAATTAACTATTTATATTTTTATAGACTTAATATTCATATTTGCAGCAGAAACTATTAAATTTTAGTTATTTTTAAAATATGTGGCATTAACCGGTTAAAGAGCTTATTACAACAAATATTTTTGTTATAGAGCTTTCGACTCCCTTTAGTATAGATTTTCAATGAAACTAAAAAAACAAAAATGAATGAATTAATGGCATATTTGTTGAACTAATAAAGAAGAAGTAAAGGTAAACTGTAAACTGATTTAGGCAAATTGTAATAACACATGGAAATCGTAAACGTAAATATCTGTTTACAGCTGCATATACAATGCATTTCCTGCAGAAATATTATCATAAAGGCAAAATAGCTGAATTGGTGTAGACGCATGTCACATGAATATATACATATACATATTACATGATTACTTGTTTGCAGATGAATACACTAAGTACATAAGTTTGTACATACATAAGTATATGAATATACATAGAGTTATAGCATATATGTCTAAATGTTAATTGTATTAAGGTATGTAATTGAAATCAGCATACATATACATATTAAAAATGTTCAATGTTTTGAGCATTTTCAAGAATAAACTGCCAATGCTTATTATTAATTTGTTTGTATGTATGTATATAAGCGGTAAAATTCATGGATAACTTATGATGGTATACGACAACTTTTATACCCTTAGCAGGGTAACATTAAGTTAGTCACGAAGTTTGTAACACCCAGTCGAGCTGAGTCGCTTTAGCCATATCCGTCTGAATATCCATCTGTCTGTGTATATATACGAATTAGTCCCTCAGTTTTTAAGATATCCTTTTGAAATTTGGCAAACGTCATTTTCTCTTCAAGCAGCTGCTCATTTGTCGGAACTGCCGATATCGGACCCCTGAACGATCGGATGCAAGTTTTTGTATGGAAAACTTTCACATTTCACAATGTATTTTCACAAAAGTTGGCACAGGTTATTTTCTAAAGCAGCAATGTAATCTCCGAAGAAATTGTTCAGATCGTTTAACTATAGCATATAGCTGACATACAAACTGAACGATCGGAATCAAGTATGGAAAACTGATCCTCGAAAGAGACCAGACCTGCTAGATTTTGTCGTGTATAGAGGCATATCACAACGTCAACATAACTTAAAAGATCGTCTCAGTATTAAATTTTCGAGAAATCGATTTTTTTGTTGCATTGTCGGATAATATTAGTTTGTCAAAAAAGTCTTGCGGTATTTTTATTGAATTTTCAATTGACATAAAATTTTTTTTGATGACTCATGCCCAGCTCTTAACCGATGCTACGGCTGCTACTATGCCGGTCTCTTCCGACCAATTCAGCGATTTTATCGCAATTTTCGACGACAGGCCTTCCGGAGCGTGGCGCATCTTCGGCCACCTCTACACCAGAACGAAAACGTTGAAACCATCGTAGTGCGGTGGAAATGGAAACTGTATCGAGTCCATAAACTGCATACATTTTATTGGCTGCTTGAGATGCATTTTTGCCTTTATCGTAGTAGTACTGCAAAATATGCCCTATTTTCTCTAGAAAACTAGAACTACGCGCTCTCAGCGCCAACTAGCGAAAATACCGCAAGACTTTTTTGACAAATAATTAATTCTCTCAAAATTTTAAATCGAAATTCAAATTATTACCGTCGCTATCGCGTTTTGTGTAGAAAGGAAACAGGGCCCCACCATAGCGACTGATATCTTTAAACACGTTTCCCTCAGAATGGTATTTTTCAAAATAGTTTCCACTCTCAGAAGGAAGAGTTTTGAAGACATCTAGTTCCAATTTGGAAAGAACATTTTTAAGTCATTCACCATCGCGCCGAGAAGATTTTACTTTTTTTGTTTAAAATCTTCTTATTTCTTTCTACGAAAAACTGGAAAAAAGCCAAAAATCGATACTTTTTGTTTAAACCGCCGCCATTTTGTAAATTTTATCGACTTTCTAACAGATTAATTATATTTTTGAAATTTTTGGTTTAGGCCAAAAGTGCGGCCGCAATCGTGGACATTTTATAGCAAATTTTTTTTAGCAATTTATTTTAATAAACATAAAAAATCATTTTGTATTCGTCATAAATGTTTTTATTTATAAAAAAATCGGTCTGATTACTTAAATTCCACATTAAAAAAATCGCGAAATGATTTTTTGGAAGGTCACTCTGAGACGATCCCTTAAACTCTGATCATCCGCCAATAACATTAATGTTTGGGACTAATGTATCGAGTATGGAAAACCCATACAAAATTATTACGCAAAATACTGTTAAAGCAGCATTCAGAAACTGGCTCAAAAATCGAAGTAGTTTGAATACATTCATAAAATGTGGCGATGGTATAGACTTAGCAGTTGAAAAGCTTATAATTGCTATCCAAGGAGCGGGAATAAAATGAAGTAACAAAAAAAAAAAACGTTACGTCCCATTGATCAAAGAGAAGAGAACACTCAAGAACAAGTGGCAAATAAGTCGAAATCCTCTTGGCAAACGAATTTTAAACAAGGCAACTAACAACTTGTAAGTTAAATAGTTATGGTGTCAGATGCAGAAATACACAAGAGAAAGCCGACCACTTTCTCCTCATTCGCAGCCAGTTTTGCAACCCAACATTATTCTTAATAATGAAAACACTGCTGAGGCACAAAACTTTCTAAAATCGCCTTGCCAGATGAGTCTGCCTATTCGAAAAATTCTTATTAAAGAAATAACGATTGAGATTACGAAAATATACCTTAAATTTCGCCTTGCTAAAATTGATAAACTTATTCTTAAACATCCACTTCACAATGATGTTAGACTGCTTKCTTAAATACAAAATTATAATCTTCGACTCGACCACTAACCAAGACAATGGCAATGTGCGAAGATTCCGAAACCTAATAAACCTGAGAACTGCCCTTCTTCATATTGTCCAATTAGTTTACTGGCGACCTTCTTTAAAGTACTTGAAAATATATTTTTAAAGAGAGTTTTACCTGTTTTAGAGGACCCATATATATTATTACTCGAACACCAGTTTGGTTTAGAAGGGGACATGGCATTTATTGCCACAAATTTTAACCATAATTACATTTCACATCATTTACAAGAGCAACTTAATATTGTCGACAACTGGTTTAAGTATTGGAAAATTGAAGTAAATAACGTTGACATTAAGAACCGAAAATATTCCTCTGTATTTTTAAACGGCCCTACAATACATAAAAGTGAAAAGTGAATTAAAAATTTAATCTTGAAAATAAAGTTCAACTCTTCAAATCAATCCTTACACCAGTATGGACGTATGCAATGCAGTTAAGGGGGACGGTGAGGACATCCAACATTGAAGTCCTGATCCTAGATTTTTGTACTCTCTCGCCTGTAAAATTTTAGAGCTGTTATACCAAAGTCAGAAGCTTGATGTTTGTAACTCCTAAAACTTATCGAGATAGATATGCAGATACGTAGTTTTATACATGTAAATGATCAGGATGACGTACTAGTTGAAATTTGTCTATCTCCCCGTCGTTGTTGTTGTTGTAAACGATGACTTCACTAAAAACACTTGAAACACAATGAAACTTGATACACATGTTCCTTGACACCAAAAGGCCATTAATCGAGAGCCTAGAAAGTGCCATAACATAACATTTGGGGGGGATATATATTGTTGACAATTTTAGTTTAAAAAAAAATGGGCGTATGGGCATTTTTCATTTTACCCTCATGGTAAAAGTTAAGTAATCCACTATGAAAAGTGAATAAAATTTTGATTATAGAATAAACATTATTTCCTGCAAATTATGACTAGAGCAGCCTGCCACGATTCCGAGTATAGTCTCGATTATGGCTGGCGTGTCGAATGAACACGAACCTCTAACTACGTACATTTGTCAATCCATATTCTCAGTTTTGAAGTTAATACTTTAATTATATCTTAATTCCTTGAAATACCTAGCTTTAACAATTTGTTAAGAAAAATATAGAAAGAAGAATCGAATTTGTTCCTTAATAATTTATAAAACATGTATTTAAGTGCATAAAAAAGGCGGCTAATGAGCTAATCTTCGGAATCACACTTTTTTATGAGTGTCTCGTTGAGTGTATTTAGAAACTCATGACTTTTAAACAAAGTACCACAAAAAAGCGATATTTAAAAAGATAGTTTCTAGTAAAATACGTAAATTTGTAAATTGTAAATTAAATGATTAATTAAAGACTAAAAAATTAGCATTAAAATGTTTATAAAAAAGTAGCAACAATAAGGATATTATTGAATAATTTTTTTTTTCCAAAATTCTAGACTGACTTAAGGGGCGCTATACCAATGTGACACTTTCTAAAAATTTAAAAAATAGATTTTTAGATAGTTTAATTTCCAAATATGTCGTGTGAAATCTGCAAGGTCTTATCTTGAATAGTTTTCGAATGGCAACGTTCTAAAGAGCGACTACTGGCAGAAATAAACATATATATAATATGTATAAGCGAAATTTTAAACGCATTTTTCTCGAAACGACATTTTTCAAATTGCTGACATCATAACGCAGCGAAAAATCCGATCGACTTCAAATTAAAAGTTATTGTTGTTGAATATATTTACTATACGTATAATGATCTACGATCCTTTTGATTGGTGGAAAATTGTCAATTTGGCATTAAAAAAAACCTTTTTTAGCTAACAAAAACTATATATTTTTTGTGTTAATTCTTAATATTAAAAAAAAAATTAGGTCATTGTATTGGAAATACCTTCAACTTTAATAACCTTTTTGAATTTTTTTGTTTTAGCTACTCAATGGGACGGAATCACGTTAGCAGTTAGGGCATTTTAGGCACCTCTGCAGACAGTACATAACTCCGTTAGTTTTCAATATTTTTGTAAAAAAAATCTTCAAATATAGCTGAAAATGTACTTTATTATGTGCAAAAAACTTTGAAACATTCGATCGAGTACTTTCTTTGAAAAAAATTCACGAAAATCGCCTAATTTTTCATGGGTTAGATTGGTATAGCCCTTTAACCCAGAAGAACTACAACAAAATCAATATTAACCGTTCATTCATTCGATAGATGTAAAGCTTTCTGAAAAGCTTTAAAAGAGAATTTAAGGTATATCTTTTTAAATGAAAATATGCAAAGAGAATAAACAGGCAAAGTTTTATAAAAATAACCAGAACCAATACTTCATTCGAAATGTCTACAATTGAAAAACTTTGTGCTCCTTTTCGATGCATCGGACAAAGCAAGTTGTATTGCAATTTTCAGAAATATATAAAAGATATCCAATTATAAATAGTTCCAATAGATAAGCCTAAAAAATAATGAAATAGTAAATAGTTGCATGACAAATTAAAAGCTAAAGCTACGCCAGATGGCGCAAAAGTTATAAAGTTTGAAAAGCTTAAATAGCGAATCACTGAAAATAAAATAAAAATGTTTTATGGTTTTGGTTATGACTCTTTTATATATGGTAAATGTATAAGTAGTAAACATGGGAAGTATATATAGAGATATTATAAAAGTTTGTTTTCTCAAAGCGTTGAATTTAAGTTAAGTTTTGAGTTATTTATAGCTTCTGTCGTACTTTCGAACATAACTGCCATATCCAAAGTGATTGTATTGAAGGAGATAAAAGGCGATGATTCTACTTAGTTTCTCTGAAGTAGATTTATTAGTTCATAAATCTGCAAAAAGGTAGATATATATTGCAAGTTTAACTTCAACCACCAAGAGGGTTTTACTCAGTTCAGAGACAGTTCACTTGTACCATAGAATGGCAAGTTAGAGAACCATTGAATTACTTACTCTTAGCAAGTGTTTTCTCGTCGCAATTATATATTCTATCTCGTCGGAGCATACTCTTATAGAATCTAATGGCTGAAGTTATAGATAAAACACATTTCTAGACTTCTGAACGGTAGTGAAAGCGTAACATTCGAAGATGGCGAACCCAGTTTCAAAATCGATGACGAGGGAGTAGATGTTCCATTGCCCAACTCTGATGAGATTGGAATAGCAATTACCCGCCTGAAGAACAACAATGAAGCAGGGGCCGATAGATTACTGGCAGCACTATTCAAATACGACTATAAGGAACTGACAAGGTGCATGCCGTAAAGACCTCTCCGAACCGTTCGATGCTAAACGAGGTTTCAGATAAGAAGACTCGTTATCGTGTAACTTCTCCAATCTATTACTTGAGAAAATAATACGTGCTGCAGAGCTAAATAGGTAGGAAGGTACAATCTTGTACATATAAGAGTGTACCACGAGCATTCCGGTCCTGCTATATGGTGCGGATGAATACCGCAATCGGTGAAGCGATGAGCTGTACGAGATATACGGCGACACTGACATAGTTTAGCGAATTAAAAGTAAGAGACAGCGGCTACGGCGGCTAGGTCATGTTGTCCGAATGGAAGAGAAGGTTTTCGATTTAGTACCCGCCGATGGAGTCAAAGGAAGAAGAGACATCCAATTCGTTTGAGAGATCAGATGGAGAAGGACCTGAAGAAACGACTGGTAAAAGCGTAAGCTGAGAATTTTGAAGGGCACAAATTGTCAAACAACACTTCTCTGCATCTACGAACTTTCTTGACACTAGCCGCCTCAATATATTTCGGTCAAACGATATGTTTCGGCCTTTTAATTCCATTCTTAGGATTTCTGGTCATTACAGTTTCCAGTTGAATCATTCATGACTTCATGAATTATAAGCCGAATACCTAACGTTGACCTACATTAGAAAAGTGAATATATGTCGCGTGTACATATCATATATAGTATATATGTATACAATATATATATCTCGTTTTGAGCATAACTGCATTAAAATGTACATAAATTGGTCAACTTGTTTTTAAATCTTAGATTATTTCCAAATTCTTTTTATGCATTCTTTTACCTAACAACTGGCGAATTTTATTACTAATGTTAGCTCTCATCTCTTTCGGTATATCTTCATACCACATTTTTTCTCAGCTCGTGGCGTTGAAATGGCAAACTGTATATTCATACAAGTTTTTCGGGCACTCTAGGTTATTTAAATATACCGATGTGCTGTTATTTCTTATTTTTGCGCATTCATGTATGCATATAAAAAGCAAACAGCATAAGAAAAAATAATGCATTAGTTAGAAACCGCAAAAGAGAACACTACGAGCTCGGACTTAACGCATGTTTTGTATAAATTTCAATAAATACTGAAAAATACAATAACAGAATATAAAATGAAGTTTACATTGAGTGTCCTGGTGATCTATGGATTAATTGCTCTCGGCTGCTCAGCACCGCTTGACGACTCGGCGAATGCACGACTGTTGCGTTACGATTTTGACAATATCGGAGTAGATGGTTACGATTTTAGGTAACAAAGTAAAAACAGAAAATAACTACACAGAAAAAGTGAATCAAATGTAATCGGCAATACAACGAGTAGTGAACCTGAAGTTACACGAATCAATGAACGGAAGGCAAAAAAAAAAAAAACTATTTAAATGTTATGCAATGATAATCATTTGTATTGGGTCAAATTTATTTCTTCAGTGGTTTTTAACGATACATAGTGATGGTTAAGATAGATAAGACAAGTGGTGAAAAGTTGTAAGTTGTGATGTCATGATGCTAAAAAATGCTGTTCAATTCAACGGGAACTAGCGTAAAGGGGTATAAGTTTAAGTTTCTGTGATTTTTTTATGTTAACACAATTAAAAACTCTTCATTAAAATCAATTTTGTGTAAAATTTTAACGATGCAATACGGCATTGACAAAAAATATTAAACTGTATCTCAGAAAAAAGGAGGATGGCGGTGCTGCTAATAGCTTGGTACTAACTATATCATATGAAATTAAACAAACAAGGTTCATTCGTTACTTAATATTTTTCTCCGGGAAATTTTCAATTATAACATTTTTCGAACACTATGAAGAGAAAAATGTGATTTGAAAATAAGTCGAAAAGTTTATAAATCTGAAAGAAAAATTATTATCAGCCTATTTGAAAATATCTCCGGCATTAACTCGTGAATTATGTGTCGAAATAGTGATGCAGTAGTTTTGAAGTCATGAAGGGTACGGACTTCGAAAATGTTAGCTGTGCGGAAGACGATTTTCTTCATAGAAGAAGAGGTTTTTAACATAACATACATAAAACAATTGTGAAATTGACGTAATATTTACCAATTTTGCTCTAATTGACTTGAAATATTGTCACAATATAATAAAAAGATTTAAAAATTAAAAAAAAAATAAAAATATTTATAACCTTATTCCCTCATCTCGCCTATTTGTCCTCATTTGTACCGTGTTTGTGCGAATTTTCTGGTTTTACTATTTCATATTGAAATAAGTAATTTCACTTAAAAAAGTAGCAAAAGATTATGTTATGCAACGCTTGACTAATTAAGCCAAACCCGTTCCCAATGTGTGAGAACGTTTCCAAATTTTCTCATACTTGAAGAAAATAATAAATTTTTATGCAAATAATTTGTTTCGTTATAGAACTAGTTTTAAATATTAAATGGCTTTTAAATATTCCTGGAACATTCTCAAGCGGTTTTAGTAAAAAAGAATTGTTCGAAAATAGCCTTCAATAAGCCTTATAATAATAGTTTTAATTAGAGGGATAAATCTCTCTTTTAGTAAGGTTAAAAATGAACTGACAATAGAAAAAATTTTTGCAGTAATTCAATGAATTCATCCTCCGCTATTTGTGGTGAAAATAACTTTTTCTACATGTTTATCAAAGCCCGCCAATTTTAATCCCCCTCAAACTTAATGTGTGCGCCCATGGAATACATAATAAGCCTCCGCATCGCAGAAATATCAAGATCAGAAAGCAATCGCTAATTAACGAATTAAAATATGTGCTTCCGACATAAATTTGACAGTATCGAATAATGCAGCTCAGATCTCTTTTCACCTCTACATAAAAAGGGGTATAGGCCAGTTCAGAAGCCTTTGAAAATCGTAAAATAAGCAATATAAAGCAGTTTGAAACCTATTTGGAAAAAGAGACAAAATACGAAAAATTAACACGAACATTTCATACTCTTGTATCTTGTCAATATCAAATCCGAAGATATATCTTTAAGAGTTAACAAAACTATTAGTTGTGGATGAATTCAACACATATTGTGCGACGAACTCATGAATAGATTACAATAAAATTTGCATCGCATTAATTTATATTATAGATCGGAAAAAAATCATTTTTATTAAGGTACCTCACATACCAATATTTGGGGAGTAAAGTCTACCAGACGTTTGAAAATTTGATTTTAGAAAGTTTTCACTTTATTTTAACTATTCCAAGAACAAAGATACATTATAATTAAAAAAATACCGTTTTTGAATTTCGCTAAAATAACTGACATACTATTGACCGATGTATGTGGTAAAAGTTAGCCGGAAACTTGAAAAATTTTTCTATTTGGTATACATTGTGACCACAATAATGTAATTTAAATTCCCCGGCCAAATGATATTTCAAAAAATTGTATTTTGCTAATTTGGCAGGACTGTCCTTAATTATTATGCCAAATATAAGCGCGATCTGTCAACCAGTTTATTTACAGCAGCTGCTTAAGTCGGTATACCTCAGTAGTGCGTTGTGATTGTTGCAATGGATAAAAATAGCGAACAAATAATTAGAATGTTGAAAAGGCTTATAGCGATTCAGTTTAATCAAAAACACAAGCCTACGAGTGGTACAATGCCCTCAAAGATGGTCGAGAGATCGTTGAAAACATGTTCTGCACGAACTTCGACCTCTTAAACTATTAAAATATTAAAGAAGTGAAGGATGTGGTTCTTGAAAGTAATCAGACAAGTTTTAGAGAGATGGCAAGAGAGCCCGATATCTCTCTAATGATTTTGATGATTACTTTGAGCATAAAATGCAATCTTGCTCGGCTCGTCCTTTAAAGCTGAATTCTTTTCTTAGAAATATAAGAAAACAGGTCTCTGTGGGCATGCTTGACCGTGCGAATTCCGATCCCAATTTCATGGAAAATATTATAACTACTAATGAAACAAGGGTTTATGAGTTTAACACGCAAACAAAATAACAATCATCGGAATGAAGGAAATCACGCCAAAGCCGCTCAAAAGTCGAGGTGATGCGCATTGTTTTTTCCGATATTCGTGGTTTGGTGCATCAAGAATTTGTTTCGGAGGGACAGACGGTCAATAAAGAGGTTTGGTGTATTGAGACGTTTGCGTGAGAGCATTTCTCGAAAACGACCGAAATTGTGAATGAACAATTCATAGATTTTACATGAAGATTATTTACCATCGCATCGAACCGTGATTGTGACCAAATTTAAAGCCAAAAACGTATTGAATACCACCGATCAGACACCGTTGTTCCCCAAAACGGAAGCTTTCAGTCGAATGAAGAAATAACACAGAATTCGCTGGCATGACAAAATGGGTACTTTTTTATCGCAATGTATAGAGACTAATGGAAATGATTTTTGATATACAATTTTTGGTTATAAGTTGGCACACTTCAAGAGCAGTATGCCTGCAAACTTTTAGCCCGACACATTCATTGATGTTTAATTTGAATACTGTAAAGTTAAAGAAACAGATGAAATTTATAATGGTGAGATGTGGGAAGTAGGCGTGATTTTAGCCGATTTAGCTCACATAGAAATGTTAGTATAATGCTGTTTGTTGAAATCGGTCGATTAGGTCTCAAGATCAAGAAGAGGAAAAGGGTGGTTGAATATTTAAGAGTTAAAAACGATTTATCTTGATTTCCGCCAAAAATACGAGTATAAATATATTATTACTATTATAAAAAAGAATAATATATAATTCGATTTAATTCTTTCAGTTTTGAAACTAGTGACGGTACCGAACGCAAGGAGAGTGCAGAACTTAAGGATTTTGGCGGAGATAGTAAAGCGCTCATAGTAGATGGCTTCTCGACATGGATAGCGCCCGATGGCCAAAAATACACACTGCATTATCTTGCTGATGAGACAGGCTTCCATCCATGGGGCGACCATTTGCCACAATTTAAGCCAAAATATAAATCTTAAACTAAAGATATTTCTGTACACATTAATAACTTTAACTTCTTCTTCTTGTTAACTGGTGTCTACACCCTTACGTGGTTATAGCCGAGTTAAAAGCTAATAATTTAAACTAGCACTTTAAAATGTCAACTATGTTCACTATGAATTAATATGATAATAATAAAAAACTTTACAGTATTAAGCGGAAAAACCTTCATTCTATAAAATTATTTTATAATCTTCCATATCAGAAAAAAATATGTTTTTATATTATATAATATAATACTCACTAATCTGCAACAGATTTAAATTTTTACTCTCCTTCTCGCTCTTATTAGAAATCTAAAGTACAGGTTTTCATATCACACGATCAGTGATAACCAGCGATCTTTGCATGATCATGAATATGCATACATAGCAGTAGCTCCGCCAAAAGCATTTAAAGTGCTTTCGAGCAGATTTTGAATTTTTATTTCCAAGCAAATAAGTGCAAAAAAAAGTTGTTGCGGAAGATCCAATTATCATTTTGCAAATTCAGTTTGGCGTATATCCTTTTTAAACAAGGTCTCCAAGTTGCTTAGCCAATAAAACTTTAAATTAACCTTTATGACTTAATGTTGTTCAATTTTTAATGACAAAAACTGGTGTTTTTGCATAATTAAATCAAATCATTCTGGATTACTGCAGCATATCCATACAAATTATTTGTTAACATATGAATTGCACATGAGCATTATAAAGTATAGTTGAGTATGTATGCATATTTGGATGCGGCAAACGAGTTGGTAGTTGAATGACTTCAAAAACGGTTGCATAGTTTTATTGGGCCAATTATTATGGAGACCGAAATTTCGCACATCTTATTGTTATAGTGCATCAAAATAAAAAATATTCATTTTAGTTGAAAAACTAGTTGTGGAAATGAGGTTTCACTGAACGAAAATGTGAAATAAGGAAGTAGTTATTCATACCAAAGATACTATTAAATTAAGATTGTAGTGAATGGAATTTGTTATTTATATTCTCCACATTATTTTGGAGTGAATTGAAGTTGTTTTTATTCTAGTTGAAGGAAAACGCGATAATTCACGGTTTTATATAAAAATGTTTATATTTTTACTATAACAAGGGTTTCAGTAACAGTGCGTTCAAAAAATAATGTTTTTCTTTCCCGAGATCAAATTTCGGAGAACTGCTTATATATATTTTTTTTAATTAACCCATTTTTGATTCCGATCACTACATGGACTCAACCAAAAGTAGACCATAAAACGACGCCATACTTTTCCCCGCTCTTCTGACATTTCTCTTCAGTAAAGTTTGTCATTTAATACGATACAACAACGAGTCGAAATTATTAAAATTTACAACTGAAATTCTGAGTCAGTGGCCTTAAGTGACTTTAAGAGCGTCCAATTTATGGTCGTTATAATCGTCCTGTCAGATCAACAAATGAGCCTCTAGTAGAAAAATTTGAATCCACAGGAACAGTACAAAAAATTCACTTGCCAGTGAGTCAAAGAAGTGCCGCTAGCAAAAAAAATTGAAAATGATCTGGATTTTCATAGCAAAATGATCTTCAGCAAGGAGGTTCATTTCAGAATGGTCTCCTCAGTAAGCAAATAATTAATCGAAAATCTATAAATTGCCATAACTAAGCACTATGTTAAGATATAAAAAAGGCTCGGCCGCATCATCTAATATTTTTAATGTACATAACACGTAAGCTACTAAAGCTACCATAACTAAATTCGCTGAGGACAAATCCTATAAGAACCTTTACGGACAGTGTGAAAATTAATGAAAGCGATTGATAACCCGCTCTCTCCCCAAGTAACGGTTTTGTTGAAATTATTTAAAACACGACAAATGCGTCAGAAGCCTTAAATTTTACATCCAAGAGCACCACAGCCACTTCTCTTTACCATAAAGAAGAATTTTTTTTTACATATGATGCTTTCCCTTTTCAGTGCAGAAATCAAGCACTAATCAATACATTCGGGCAAGACTTTACAAATAGTGATTTTGAGTTGACTTTATACTACAGACTTTATGTTATATTCTAAATGGATAAAATCGGATGAAAACTATCTCCAGAAAACATATATGAATGTATTTCCCCGACTTGGATCCTGGCGAATTGCAAGAGTATGATATACTCGGTCGTACCCAAACTTAGACCTTCCTTACTTGTTTTTATATTACTTATTATCATGAGTCATCTGATTTTTTAAGAAGTGAAGAACTTGGATATGTCGATTTAAGATAATAACAACTTTAAAAATTTTTGCAACCATTGGCTTTAGGAACATTCGTCCTATTTTGGTGATGAATCGCTTGCAGCCATATCCTCCATTTTATGTACTTTAGAAACAAATATTAAATTTTAACTTATAAAATAGACGCTTGTTGTCGGGATGGTCTCACGAAATAAATGTCATAAAATGCCATATTTGAAAAACTAGTTCAAAACTCTAGTGTTTAATATTCCTTAGTTGTATTTAACACCAAGTGAGGAAACTGGTGTGGTTTGCTCTCCTCTCAAGTTTGGTTTGGCATGATTAATAACTCAATAATTTAAGTATGCGTAAACATCACTTCAAAGACTTGTTTTGCTTGACTCATAATTGATTAAGCACACGTCAAAGATGGACACCCGCAAAAATCAAATTATCCATATTTTACAGCATAACAATCAACCTAAGCGGCTGGAAATGTCTATAACTTAACTGTTTAAATGTGATACTGTAACAGAAAATTATGTGCAATAAAGAAGCTTGATCGTCGAAAATATCGATGAAGTAATGTACCTTTAAATAGGGCTGGTTACAAGGGAAGCGCGGACTGTGGATTCCACGCAATTAAACGAAAAATACCTGAGGACTGAAAGTCCTTCCGCTAATCGCTGCTGAACTGAAACAAAATCGATTAATCGAGCCAAACTCTAAATACCGAAAGAAGTGGGCAGTTTTGGCAAATAGGAGAAGAATTATGTTTCATGAAGGCAAAGCCAGAAGCTTCGGAATTTTGGTTGGGAGGTTCTTATGCATCCACCTTATAGCCAAGTGATTACTACCTGTTCCTTCTTAAGGGGAATGATTTTGCTATGGAAAATTCATCTGAAAAAAGCTTGTGAAAATTGAAGGTGTTCGTTCCATTCTATTACTGGCGACCTCCAAGTTGGCAAAATTTTGAGAAAGAAACCATGCTTCTAAATTTACGAAAGCTGTATATTAAGAATTTTCTTCGAGGATGTTGAAAAATTTGTAAAGATATACACTCAACAAGTAAGAACGAGCTAAATTCGGGTATAACCGAACATTTCTTACTCTTGCAACTTGCAAAGATTAATGCCAGGGAAGTATCTTCAGGTAAATTAGACCTGAAGATATATGTATATAGGGATCTACGGCGAGTTTTCACCCTATTTCATTCATTCTAAGGACAAATATGCACCGGTATGATAAAGCACATATTGGCCGATTTATATGCGATACAAAGTCACCCAGTAGATCGAAAATCTTATTATTACTTAAAAATCTTTTAGTATTGACCCGATTCAACCCATATATAGCACACAGAAATACTACTATTAGGAAAGGACTATCTCTGAATTCTATGACCCAATGACCAATATTTTCGGCAAAATATCAACTAGGTCTTGAGTAGTTTTTGCTGGATTTGGAAAATTTTTGACCGTAAAGTGGTTATTGTTCAGCAACCAGCAGTTGTGGGCTTGTAAAAGCCATCTGGAGCAAGGTGGAACATAAAAGGTATATTTAATTGTTAGCTAGCAAGGCTCACATTACCACAAATGAGGTAAAAACGTTTAGATACATTTTTCTCCACTAACCAGCTTTCGACAGACTAAAGTTGAAGAATTTCGGTTACCATACTGTTTACGAACCCGCCGAATTGGTTGGAATTAATGTCTTTATTAATTTGTGGCAAGCACTAGACATAGGAGTTTTCAAACGTCTCTGGCTGCTCAGGTGAAATTATTCGTGGGGCCTCACGAGAAATTAGCTTCCTAACCTTGTCATGCCACAAAATTTCAATATAATGTATTATAAATACTCATTTGACCAAAATGGTCACAAAGCGTGATACATACATACATGTATAATATTTGAAGGAAAATTGTGATTTTAAACTTTTTAGTAAAATGAATTGGTATACATATAGTCTAATTTTGAGTTAAGGGGGGAATAGGGATTTTCACTTTCGAAAAATCGATTTTTTTATCTTATTGTTTAACATTTCAGGAATATGTCCTTAAAATTTTAAGGCGATAGAAGTAATATTCTTAGAGTTATCGTCTTATTAGTCTCCTGGCCTTTAACGCTCTAACTCTAGCAGCTGAGGGCGGTCGGGATAGAAGTGCAGCTGCAGACGCGTTTTTCTCAAAACTACTTTTCAAAGTCCGTGTTCACTGTCATTTCAAAACTACTTGATCGATTCATTTCAAATATATATATTCTTTTTTTCATTAAGGGTGTTTTCCACCCACAAAATGGCGGAATTTTTCGTGGAAAATAACAGTTTACACTTTTGATGGCCGCCAAAATTTTTGAATGCAAAAAAAAATGATCAGAGAACGCCGGGGGGAAGATTTTATTATATTTTAACTAATTTTTCTTTATTTTTTATTTTCAGATAACTTCCGGCCGAGTTATAGTGAACATCGCAAATTTTTTTTTTCTCAAGACGTTCTGGGGAAAGCACTGTTACCGGCTTATGCCTCAGTATTTCTGCATGAAAAAATTGTCAAAAGTGTGCTCTATAATGTACAAAAGGTCCGAATAAAATTACTCAATTCAGATTTGAGAAATAAATCCACAAAAAAAGTATTTTTTTTTTTACCTTGAAAACCACACCCCTCCTTAAAACTCCTCTATCGCTTTAACTGCAAGGTGAGTTCCAAAGTAAACACGACTTTTTGAATCTAGCGCCGTCTGTATGACGACGAAATCATCCTTGAAATTCATGGAAATGAAATTTAACATCTCCAAAACATTAATTTATCGCATTTTGACCGTGCAAAAACCTGTAGCAGAAGGGGACTATTTTGAATAAAATAAATTGGTTTTGCCGAGAAAACCATTTGTTCTATTTTGGAACGCACCTTGTATATCTTACCAAAGTTTTAGCAGCAACAAAAATAAATTTTCAAATTTCAAAAAAAAAAAAAAAATTAACAAAAAAAAAAAAAAAAAAAAAAAAAAAAAAAGCTTTTCAACTGTAAAATTGGTTTACAAGAAAACTTGATTTCTGATTTCCCCATTTCTTTAGTCAACAATTGGCAATGTTTATTTCAAATAATTGTATATTTAACACTATTTGCTGTTTGTTTTTAAAAAACTTTGCAAGCAAAGCACACATTTAGCATAAAGCTTAAAGCTGTAATTTTCACATTCGCTAAAGTTTCGCTGTTAAAAAGCTTGGCAAGATCAACTTGTGATGTTGATATCACGTAATCATATCACAACAGCACAAAGTGGCGGTATGTATGGTATTTATTTCAACCGCAAGTCACAACAACACACATGCACACATGCATATACAAACTCGTAGTATACCAAAGAACGCAGCACACAAACAAAGTGAGGCGCAAAAGCACGACGCAAAAGCACGGCGCTATACAAAGCAGCAGCCCACAGAATAGTGTATCGCTTCAAATAGAATCGTCTCAGTTGGTATTCAGAGCTGTTTGAGAATTGTTGTGAAGATCGGTGAACGCGCAAATAAAAGGTCTACGAAAAAATTTCGTACAAAAGCCAAATGGAAAGCAAATAATACTTCTAAATGAACGCACACAAAGTCGATAAATTTAAAAGAGCTGGCTGAAGAAATGCTAAACAAACGCAAATAAAAGCATTTGATTGAATTTGTATGTAAGTAGGTGTGTGTATGTACTTACTACTTGCATATGTATAGCATGTACATAATGTAAAGTTATTTATGAGAATGCGAATAAGACGACACTAAGCGGCGGTAAACGAAACAAAGTGCTCATTCGAAAGGCAAACGCCAGCAGACAGACGAGCAAGAAAATAATAAAAAAAAAAAACAGTAAAAACTGTGGAAAGCTATCTTGCAGATGCGGCAATCGGGTTTAAGAACTGCTGCAGTTTTCTACTTTATTTTTGAATTTAAACGCGCTTGCGCTCGTTAATACCGGTATTTCGGCGTAAATGAGAGAAAATGTAAGCAAAAATAAGTTGAAGAAAATAAAGATAATACAAAATAAGTGCAATGCATTCGAAGTATGCAGATATTTCAACTGAAAATCGCAACTTATTAATACACAAGTCGGCATAAAGTAGGACGAAGCGCTCTTGAGCAGACGTATACACCGGAACTTTCAGCTTTAATTGCAAGTTTTTACAAATAAAAAGTAAAGTAATTGTTATTAAAAGTAAAGTAAACGTTTTTAAAACTAAACTAATCGTTGTTAAAATCAAAGTAATCGCTTTCGAAAGTAAAGTAATCATTATTGCACAGCAACTATTTAAATTGACTAATATACTTTAAATATTGAGGGTATCACTAGCGGCACGTGCTCTATGCATACATAATTTTAATTGCAAACGGTAAACAGGAGTTTGACGCGAGTACACATACGTATGTATGACTAAAGGTCACGTGATTGCGGTTAATTATTGTTGCAAGTGAAAAGCGGCGCTCATTTAAGCAATTCACAGCCAATTTTCCTAATTTCCGATAGTGTGAACTTCGCATAGCATTTCACTTTCAATTTTTTTTAATTGAAGAGGCGGCGATTTTCCAACGAAACCATATGTTGAACTACTGAGGGCAAAGCAAACCAGCAAAAATCACGCAGCCTTTTAATTGAAAAACAATAAATAAAATAAAAGCAAGGAAAATAGAAAAGTGGAAATAAGTGGGAGTAGACAGCAAAGCAGACCCACAGCAATAATACTGAGTGATAGAAGCAATAAAACTGAGACGAAAATAAAGCAATAACCGCTGCTACGAGAGACGGGTCAATTGCTGACTGTAGTGTAATGGTGAAACCGTTGTTGGTTTACTTTTATCAATACGTTTTTGACTGGCTGGATTATTGGCGGTTTCAGTGCAGCGGCAATTGCAGTCGAAACAGCAACAACAATTACAGCAACAAATACAATTTGTGGCGATCATTTGCAAGGCAAGCAATTGCAATAAGAAGCCTACACGTCACACCGTAGCCGGGAGGCATATGGACGCTGCATAAATTGCATTTAAATTTAAAGTGTAGAACGTCAGAAGCATCAACATTCATAATAATTAAGAATTAAGTGAAACGAGCAATGACTACAGCAACACAAGCCGCGGTTGAAGCTGACTAAGCAGCTTTTGTGGACGAACTCAGCGATATTTTGAAGAAGAATATTTGCAAGAAAACGCGCACAGCTAATGCATGAAAGCAAATTTTGAGAGCCAAATTGAACAGAGAAAAAAGAAGGTGCATACAAAATACATATGCACACGCAAACACTTAAACTGGCAACGTGTAAAAATAGACACATTCCCGATAAGCGAAGACGAAATTAAAAAAAATATATATATATATACTTATATATATATAGTTGATGCAAATAAATAACTGAATATTATATATATATTATAAATATAATAAAGATAGCATAGCCAAAACTCACCAGCAGCACTGAACATTTTAGCGGCGTTTTGGGTCCAAGAAAAAATACATTTTTGTTTGCATTTAATTTGCGTGCCTCAATTAAACAACGAAGCACCGACAATCGCCTTCCACTCTTTTATTCTGCTTCTTCTTCTTCTTGTTGCACACAGCACACGTGCCAAAGGACATTAACCTGAAAAAGTCGACACAAAAAATAGGAAATAAAATTATTATTTAAAAGTAAATTAGCGCAGCTTTTGCACGCAGTTTCAGCAATTAGCTAAGAATTTGAAATTCTCGAACATTTAAAAAATAGAAAACAACACTATTTTCAATTTGGTTGCGGAATTTTCGCATTAAATATTTCGGTGTTTGATCTCGCAGCGCTCGCCACACGCACACTGACCTAGACTAACGTGTACTAACGCCTGCAAAATACGGCCAACACACAGCAAATACAAGAAAAAATTGTGATTTTGTAGCAAACATAAAGAAAATAAATCAAAAAACAAAATAAAAAATTAAAAATTAAAAAAAAGGTTTAAATATCAATACAAATTCAAAAAAAAAAAACTATTTAAAAAAACGTACCAAGTGGCACCAAATTTAGTAAGGAAAATTTGTTACTATAAATAAATACTGTGATTTTGGAAAAATAATTGTAACTTAAAAATTATTCGAAATAAAACGTGATTCTTTTTATATAATCCAACGCATTTATAATAAAAAAGACGACTTTTCCGATCGCGTGCAATATCGATACCTTTTCAGTCACCACAAAAAGCAGAGCAAAGTTCCTAAGCAACGATAAAGTGAGTAAATTATATCATAAGTATGTCTTTAAAATGTTTTTTATACATTATTACCTTTTTTTTATATAAATTAATATAGTTTTGCAAATCAGTGATATCTATGTACCTTTAAGCAAATACATATGTATGTAATACGTGTATATAGCAAAGAGTACTACTTGTATTACGTCTGACAATGTTTATAGAGTCGCTCATGAATTCATTATTGTTCTTTTTTTTTTACTTTTAAAAGCGTTGATATTTATAAAGTACAAAAATGTATACAAAGCGGAAACTTGTTTTTTATAAATTACGAAAATGACCTAAGGTGACGTGTTATACAATGAAGAAATAACCTTTTGCTTTTTCGATAGTACATATATATTTTCGAAATTATCCTGTGCAACAGCCAATCTTTGTAGTTTTTGAATGGCAGCGTTCTAAATAGTATAAGTGAAACTTTAAACGCGCCTTTCTCGCAACGAGATTTTTTAAAATTGAATGATCGATGATACGACGTTTTTGATTGGTTAAAAATTATCAATTTGGCATTGAGAAAAAACTACAATTATTTACCTAAAAAAGAAAACGAAAGTTTTTTAGAACTACAGCATTTTGTAAATTTTTGATATTTCTCAAAGATTATATGTCATTGTATACGAACTACATTCACCTTTAATAATCTTTCTGAATTTTATTTTTTTTGTTTGGCACCTCCGAAGACCGCAACTAACTCCGTTATTTTTGAATATTTTTGTTAAAATACATCTGAAAATAAACCTTATTATGTCCAAAGAACTTCGAAACATTCGATCGCATACTATCTTTTAAAAAATTTACGAATATCGCCTAATTTTTCATAATATTGTATCTCATAATTAAACCCTGACCACAAAGAGACCCCATAAAGTATACAAAGGCTGCCTTTCATAGTTATTTCGGTATTAGAGAAGAAGAACAAATTCTAATCAAGCAGCTAATATCGCTTTATTATTTTTCAAAACATTCTCCATTCAAATCTATACACTATTGCATGTGTTTGAACGAATTGACGAAGCACTTTTGCCACTCTGATTAAGCCTCTTCTCCTCTTCACGTGACGAAAAACGTTAACCTCTTTGTTTATCGTTTACGAACGAGTAAAGAACTCATTCGGTGCCAAGTCAGGACTATACGTTGGATGACTCATCAAATCGATGTTAGAGTGCTCCAAAATTCACTGTTTCAGTCGTTGTGTGAGAGCTCGCATTGTCGTGCTAAAGAGTGATCCGTTTTCCATAGTTTTCCCTGATTTCTTGAATGAAAATTAGCAAACAAAAACAGGCACCCATTTGCTTGAACGAGTTCATCGATGCGAAAATTTTCGTTATTTAATTCCATTTTTTGGCCGAGATAAATATTTTACGATCTTGAAAACAACACAACTTTATAATAAGTAACGACTTTTCTAAAAACCGATGTTATCTATTTTTAACAAAACCATATAGTATTATCATGTCACATACCAAAAAAAAACTTACCTAGGTTTCACAAATCATATGGAGTAAAATCAGCCAGTTATTCGAAATTCGTGATATTGTATATATGGAGCTATATCAAGTTTTCGCTCAAATTTACCTATAAAGACTAATTTTCATTGAGATAACTCACATGTTGGCCGTTATATGATCGTTATATTACGTATATGAGGGCTCAGGAAAGTTTTGATCCGATTTCTATCTGAATTGCAATTTTATATCGCATAAACTGACCGATATTTTTGGTCAAAAGTTAACTATAGATACTTTGGTATACATATTCGATACATAGAGGCTGAACAGTTTTGGTTGGATTTGGACAATTTTTGATCATAATAATTTCATAGTTCAAAGGTCTTATTCGTACAAAGTGTTATCCCGTTATATTTGATTTTGATTTGTTCACTGGAAAGTAAAAGAATTGAATGGATTTTAAAATATATTTTTAAATATGGAAATATGGGAAGAAGATGTGGTTGTCACCCGATTTCGATCCATTTTCGCACTGTGACATACGAATGTGAGAAGAATGCCACGGCCATTTTAGCCGAAATCGGTTGGACAGGTCCCGAGATATGTGATTTCAACTAAAAATGTACGGTGCCAGGGCTCTCATAAAGTCCTCTTATATCATCTCGGATAAAAAATTGTATGTCACTGGCATATTTAAAGTGACGAAATGCATAGCTACTTAGAAGTACTCAAGATCAGACAAATATAATTATACATTTTATGCGTATTTTGAAAACTGCCACGCGTGGCATTACTTATGGGCCATTTTAGCCGCGGAATAAAATGTTTCAGATTTATATAAATATCTATGTACATACGTATAAACAAAATATATACATATGTATTTTTTAGTACGAAAATGTTTTTCTACTTTAATTCCATTATGTTTTAAATTTATCGTGTGCTTTGATCCATTCCACTCATACCACCTCAAATTCTTTAATAAAAATGTGTATAAGCGAGTATTTTTGGCAAAAGTTTGCATTTAAATATGTTTTCAAACATTTTGGCATAGCTTTTTGAAAACATATTCAAAATTCGTGTATAACATAAGACTGCTTGAGAAACGGACTTTGAAACTTATTTTCCGGACAGAATGACATTATTTTAAATTTTTACGCAAAATAGATATTTTCATATTTTCTTAGTATAAAATATTAAATAATAGGAAAACAACGGAATCTTCGTTGAATGTCGAAAGTCTTAAAGAGACTGGATTTTTCTTTCATCATTGCTAACGCTTAAGACTATTTAGTATCAAGAAGAGCTTTGCAAATATGATGAAATTTCTTCTTAAACATACCAATCTATCAATTCAACGATTAAACGCTGTATCAAAATGGGTCAACTTTCACATAAAAAGTGTTTTAGTAAACAACAATATAGTCCTCGTTTAAACAATTAAAAAAACTATCCAAAATTCGAAAATCTAAGCCTCACCTGTGCTACCAGCATCATGCTTCACTATGTCAGACGGTTTCAGATATTACTTACACAAATACTATATTAGTGGGAAATAGGTCAATTCGTATATATATTATAATATCTTATTAAATGAGAAATGTTTCCATACTCGGTCTAAGGTGGTCCGATATTAGGGATTCCGAAATTATTGGAGCGAAAAGGACGTGAAAAAAATGTCAAATGAAATCGAAGCATCAACACCTCTGAGGAAATTTTTTCGCATATATACAGATGAACATATAAACAGACATATGGGCATGGCTAAATCAACTAAGCTCGTCACGCTCATTATTTCTATGTACATACATATATACATATATGTATATACTTTTGATGATCTCCAACGTACACTTCTGGGTATTACATACTTCGTTCAGAATATAAAAGGTGCTGCTAAAAGCGTGTAAAAGTTTAATTTTTTAAGAGCGAATCTACATTGCATGAATCATAAGATTATGACTGGTATTTGCAAGCACATAAATTTCAAAAATTGAAATATTATTCAAAGTGCATCGCTCTCCAAACTCACGTAGTAAAGTGAATAACTTGGATGGAAGAATCAATTCCCATCTAACTTTCTATTAAATTTCCGTTTCAATAAAGCAAATTTTATTCTCATTTTCATGATAAGATGCGCGGCTTCTGTAACACTTCTATGGAACTACCTGTGTGTGTACTTTGTCGTAATTTATTTTTAGAATTGCTGCATAGGCGTTATCTCACAACATATGCTGATTATTTCTTCAAGCTAAAAGTCACAAGTTAAAAGTCACTACTCTTGTATAATATATAAATCAATCATCAATGCATCTGTTATAAAAGCTCAGTTTTCTGCGAAATGAATATTGTTTTTAAATCAAGTATTGGTAATTACCCTCCAAGCTAACATTGATCAGGTGTAAGCATTATTTCGCAAAAATACATTAAACTTACAAAAAACCAAGGCAAATTGTTTTCCATGCAATTTTTCTGCTTAAAATGAACAAATTAATAGTTCCAAGTATATAAAAGACGACGAGATAAATGCGAAAAATAAAAACTCTCAAAATTTACAAACATTCGAAAGTATTTACATATGCAAATAGTATAACTTGAAAATGCTTATAAATTTACATACATATGTATGGACATATGTGTGTATGTATATCTGTGTGTACGGCGTAAATGTTTGCTTACTAAAATTTTAAAAGCTTTACAGATTTTCTGCGTAACTACAGCCGTTTTATACAAGTTTCTTATAAACAAACATATAATTTAAAAGTTGTTTTACTTAAAGGCCGTGTGGGACGCTATTCAATGGAATCATTTATGTTTGTACGTTAGCAATGGTCTTGCTATTTTTTAAAAATTTAGAAGATAATGATGGGTTTTATATAATATTTAAGAATTTCTTCCAAAAGAAAGAACTTCTCGTATCACCAAGCTTGACAGCATGAAAAGAACTGATAGAGCTACACAATTGAACTTAGTGGCAACAATCTAGAACCCTGTAACTTGAAAACTATTAGAGGTATAGATATGTATTTAGTTTTAGTATGATATTTTTAATACTATGAAAATGTGTAATACTTATTGGATAGTCAAAAAAGTCTTTCCGTAGTTTGTCAATATATGTCCTTGCAGTCGTATATCTCCAGTGCTACCAATCACATGGTATCATACAAAAACAAAATTCAATTCGCAGAAGTGAAAAAGTGTTATAGCTGTTCAAAAATTAGCGAAAATAATGAAGAAATTCGCTATATTTTAAGTTTTTTGTATAAAAAAGGGAAGAATGCCACGCAATCCACCAATGAAATTTGTGAAGTTAATGGAGGCGATGCTGTAACAACTCGTGAAGCACAACAACGGTTCGCTCGCTTCCGTTCTGGAAATTTCGATTTGAAAGATGCACCTCGCTCTGGTCGACTTCTCGTTGAAAATGTCGATGAAATTACAGAAAAGATTGTCCAGGACCATCACATAAGCAGTCATGAAATCGCTAAGGAACTTGACATTCATCATCAAACGGTTTTGAACCATTTCAAA